TGAAATCAAGTCAACTAAGTTCTTCCTCTTCTTTTTCATTTCATCTTTCAACCCTCTTAAACTATAAAATTTAGGGATTTTATAGTTTAAGAGGCAGCCAACTGTTATTAAATGTAAATTTTTTTAATTTTGTAAAATTTTATTTTAACCTTTACAATTTCTGTTTATTTCAAAATTTATAGGAGGTTTTAGTAATTATCCAAGGGGCTACAAAAAATAAACCAAAAGGGTTTGGGCCTGGGTCTTGGAAGAGGGCCCAGTGGAGGGACCGAGCCCTCTTCCTTAGGCTTGGTATGGTTTTGGGACCAGGCTTGCAAATCGCAAATTGCAAATCTTCACTTCATGTGAAGTTCCATCATTATTGCATCGAGCTTCCAACGTGTCTTATTTTTTTTCAGCACTGTTTTTCTTTTACAGAAAATTTAAAAATTTCTCGTCGCCATTCAACCATTTTCTTGTCCCTGAAACACAGTTCCACTCCCCGAAAAGCTCCTCACAACCGTCGCAACAATGGAGCACACACACGTTCCCCACGTGCTCTTCTTGCCGTTCCCAGCCCAGGGCCACATCAAGCCCATGCTGAATCTAGCCGAGCTTCTTAGCCATGAGGGTTTTCAAGTCACCTTCATAAACTCAGATCACAATCATGATCGTCTACTACACAACATTGACATATCCTCCTTCTATAATCGCTTCCCTAAATTTCAGTTCAGGTCTATCCCTGATGGTCTAACGCCCGATCACCCACGTTTCGGTCTATACGTTATAGATTTGCTTTGCTCCACTAGGGCTGTGTCCAAGCCGGCCTTCCGTGAGTTGTTGATTTCACTTAAAGAGGAGAAGGGGCCGTTCCAACTCCCCACCTGCATAATCGCAGATGGTATTATGTGTTTTGCCATTGATGTTGCAGAAGAGTTTGAAATTCCTACTATTACTTTTCGAACTTTTAGTGCTCATTGCTTGTGGACTTACTTTCATCTTTCCAAGCTTATTGAAGAAGGGGAAGTTCCATTTCCAGGTGAGGGCTAATTTTTTTGCCAAAATTAAAGCTCGACTAGTCTACCCTGATACCATTTGGGAATCCTACTATATAAGTTAACTGAAAATCTTAATTTTCTTCAATTAATTGCAGATGAAAACCTTGAGAAGCCCATTTCATGCATTCCTGGGCTAGAAAATGTTCTTCGCCGTAGAGATCTTCCAGGGATTTGTAGATTCGAAAAGGCCGATGACCCTGTTTTGCAGTTCTTTGTTAAAGAAACCTCTGCGTGTACTCGAGCTTCCGGTCTTATACTTAACACCTTTAATGAAATTGAAGCTCCTATGATAACTAGACTGGGTTCTTTTTTCAACAAAATTTATCCCATTGGTCCCCTACATGCTTTGAAGTCACGTATCAATGACAACTCCTCATCTTCAACTTCATCCAACGGTAATTTGTGGAAAGAGGACAAAAAATGTTTGAAGTGGCTTGATTCTCAACCGTCAATATCTGTATTATATGTTAGTTTTGGGAGTCTGATAGAACTCACTCGGGAACAAATCTTGGAGTTCTGGCATGGCTTAATTAACTGTGGAAAATCTTTCTTATGGGTCTTAAGATCCGACCTGATTGTTGGAGATGCCAGTTTTGGTCATTTGCTGATGAAGCTGGAAAGGGAGACCAAGGAAAGAGGGTTAATAGTTAGTTGGGCTCCCCAAGAGCACGTCTTGTTGCACCCAGCTATTGGTGGGTTTTTAACCCACAGTGGATGGAACTCGACGTTAGAGAGTATTGTTGCTGGAGTGCCTATGATTTGTTGGCCAAAAATAGCTGACCAACAGGTTAACAGTAGGTGTGTAAGTGATGTTTGGAAAATTGGATTTGATATGAAGGACATTTGTGATAGATCGATGGTTGAGAAATTAGTTAGAGAACTGATGGATAATAGGAGAGACCAGTTCATGGCATCATCTGATAAACTTTCAAGGTTGGCTTGTGATAGTATTAAGGAAGGCGGGTCCTCTTGTATCAACTTAGAAAAGCTGATTCAGGATATCAAATCATTGAGCTCTTAGCTCACAGGTATTTAATGTTAATTACCATTTGATTTTTAGCTAACTATTCAAGTTTTTTGTGTGATGTAAGAACAATCTGCTCCAGAAACTGTGCTTACTTGAATGCTATCATTTTCTGATGATTATAACGCTATACATGTCACTTGACTTTAAAACAGCAACTTAATTTCTTCAATTGATGGAATGCCATGAGCTTATTTATTAATTCATGGTATATATATAGATCAAAGCTTATTCAGATTGTTCTTACTCGAATAACATATTTTTATTTACTAGCAGTTGACATATTACAGAAGGTAATGGATCAGATCAATTACACTGCTCTGTATAATATATACCACACTTTGACAAAACAAGAAAACTGATGAATAACATTGCATCGCGACGGAGGCCGCTAAGCACTATATAGAGTAAGCATGATGAATTAAATAGAGATAACCAATGGCAATTTCGTTTCCCCTGCCCTTCACTCAGCGTGACCTTCCCTAAATTCTAACAATATTAAAAACACTAAAAAAAACAATTGGTCTGTGTTCCTAAATTACAATTAAAAAGGAAACCACTTTCTGTTTTTAATGGTTGTCTGGACTTCTGAGAACAACGTTTTGTCTTAACATTTTGTTTTGGTTGTAGTCAGATAAAACACTAGCAAATGTCATAACCAAAGCCAGTTAAGGTGTGACAACAAAACCCGTTGTTTAATGCATTAATTTATTTGATTCTAACCTTCTATTCATTGTTATATCAAGCTTCCAACCTGCCTTGTTTTTTATATTTCAAAGTTTTTAATTATCTCATCAACATTTAACCATTTTCTTCACACTGAAACCATCGCAACAATGGAGAAAACAAACGTTCCTCACGTGCTCTTCTTGCCCTTCCCAGCGCAGGGGCACATCAAGCCCATGCTGAGTCTAGCCGAACTACTAAGCCATGCGGGTTTTCAAGCTACCTTTATAAACACAGATCACAACTATGATCGTCTCCTGCACAACTCTGACATATCCTAATTCCATAATCGCTTCCCTAAGTTTCAGTTCATATCTATCCCTGATGGTTTACCGCCCGATCACCCACGCTCCGGCCGTCTATATATCAGAGATTTGTTTCAGTCGAGTAGGACCGTGTTCAAGCCAGCGTTACGTGAGCTCTTGATTTCGCTTAAAGAAGGGAAAGGGCCGTGTCAGCTCCCAACGTGCATAATAGCAGATGGTATTCTGTGCTTTGCCATTGATGTTGCACAAGAGTTTGAAATTCCTACTCTCTCTTTCCGAACCTACAGTGCTCATTGCTTGTGGACTTACTTCCATCTTTCCAAGCTTATTGAAGAAGGAGAAGTTCCATTTCAAGGTGCGTTATTATCACTATTCTTATTATTAAAGAATTATTTTTTCTGCCAAAATTAAAGCTCCACTAGTCTACCTTGATACCATATTGGGGAAGCCACTATAACTAGAAAACTTTGTATAACTCTATATAAGGGACAAGATTCACAAGACAATAGAATATCTATATTTAAGTAAGGGGGTAACGTTAATCCATGTGTATGGTCCGCCAACTTTGTAGTTATCATACCTTAATGTTTTCTTATCAAATGAGAAGCTTTCATTGAAAATGTTAAAATTAAAACAGTCGTAGTGATGCTATATCCTTGATGTAATTGCAGATGAAAATTTTGACAAACCCATTTCATGCATTCCTGGACTAGAAAATGTTCTTCGCCGTAGAGATCTTCCAGGGATTTGTAGATTCGAAAACGCCGATGACCCTGTTTTGCAGTTTTTTGTTAAAGAAACCTCTGCATTGACTCGAGCTTCTGGTCTTATACTTAACACCGTTAATGAAATTGAAGCCCCGATAATAACTAGACTGGGTTCTTTCTTCAACAAAATTTACGCCATTGGTCCGCTACATACTTTGAAGTCACGTATCAATGACTCCTCAGCTTCAAATTCTTCCAATGGTATTTTATGGAAAGAGGACAAAAAATGTTTGAGGTGGCTTGATTCTCAACCGTCAAGATCAGTATTATATGTTAGTTTTGGGAGTGTGATAAGTCTCACTAGTGACCAAATCTTAGAATTCTTGTATGGCTTACTTAACAGCAAAAAATCGTTCTTATGGGTCATACGACCTGACTTGATTGTTGGAGATGCCACCATTGGCCATACACTGATGGAGCTGGAAAAGGGGGTCATGGAAAGAGGGCTCATTGTTAGTTGGGCTCCGCAAGAGGAGGTCCTGTCGCACCCGGCCATTGGTGGGTTTTTGACGCACAGTGGATGGAACTCAACGTTAGAGAGCATTGTCGCTGGAGTGCCTATGATTTGTTGGCCTCAAATTGCTGACCAACCGGTTAATAGCCGGTGTGTGAGTGAGGTTTGGAAAATGGGATTTGATATGAAGGACACGTGTGATAGATCAATCGTTGAGAAATTAGTAAGAGAACTGATGGATAATAAGACAGAAGAGATCATGGCATCGGCTAATAAATTAGCAAGGCTGGCTCGTGATAGTATCAAGGAAGACGGGTCTTCTTTTATCAACTTAGAGAAGTTGATCCAGGATATCAAATCAATGACCTCTTAGCTCACCCAGGTACATATATGTGTGAAATAACAGGTTCTTTTATCTACAACTGAAATGTTAATAACCGTTTGATGTTTATCTGAGAATTCTAAGTTTCAATATAATATCAGAACACATTGCTGTGTGTTTATCTTCAATGGATGGACTGCTATGAGCCTGATCATTCTTGATGGATCAAAGGTATTCAAATAACAATCTTTTTTATTACCTTAAACCAACAGTACACTTGACATTTTACAGAAAATCAACAATCACACCACTCTGTATAAAACACACCACACTTCACAAACAAGAAAGCTGATGAATAAAATTCAGTAGGAGTCCTCAAGGACTCAATAACATAGCATTGCAATGTAGGCCGCTTACCCACTGATCTGAATTGATTTGACCTCTGGCTTCTTCTCCTCCATCTTTGGGACCGTAACAGTGAGAACACCGTTCTCCATTGATGCCTTCACTTGATCAACCTTGGCATTTTCTGGTAACCTGAATCTCCTCAGGAACTTTCCACGCCCCCTCTCAACACGATGCCACTTTTCATTTTTGTCCTCCTTCTCCACACTCCTCTCTCCACTTATCTGAAGAACTTTTCCTTCTTCGACTTCAACTTTTACTTCTTCTTTCTTGAGCCCGGGAAGATCAGCCTTGAATACATGAGCTTCAGGGGTTTCCTTCCAATCGACTTGGGCATTTGTAAATTGTGATAGCTCATTGTTGGAGCTCAATGGCGCCCAATTGCCAGCTGAAAATGGGTCGAATACGCTCCTGTTGCCGAATAGAGATGGAATTAAAGACATCTTTGATTAAACTAAGTGAATGATATGAAACGCGATAGACTTGATAATTGTTTCCGGAGAGTACGACTGCTTTTGGTAGCTTTGACTGTTACTGATGACTTAAGCAAAGCATAGACAGTGATATTTATAGGGATTTCGGTTACGGGGTCTTGAAATTTCGGGGTTCTTCTCTTATCTAAACGTTGTTGTGGACAGGCCATGTTTCATCCCTACTCCAACCTTCCACCATCTTCCTCCTCTTGCCTTGCGTGGCAAATGGCTTTCAAATCATTGAGAAATATTGAGAAATTTCTGGTGTATGGGCTCATCTGAGTATAGGCCCTAAACTTAAGGGCCATCAACAAAGAAGTATGTTATGATTTGTTTGTGCGTAGTGATTTTTAGTCCCACCTATATTATTAGTTGACCCTATTTAAATGTTAAATTTGTAATAAAATTTAACAATAAAGGCTACTTCCGACTTCGAAAAAGAGTGTACTCGGCAAAAATTCTAATTTTGCGTAAAAATATGTACCATCTTTCAATACATTAATATCTTCGTTAAAATCTCTTATATCTAACTTTATTCCTTATATTTTAATGATCGAATCTATTATTTTTATTGGTATATTATTCTCAAGTTTATAATCTTATATCAAAGCTTATTATAACAATCCTCTCTTCATTTTCTATTGCTTACGAATCACTTTTTTATTTAGAATAAAATTCGTTTTTCGATTTATTGATGCAGCTTTCTTAATAAATAATTTGATAAAAGTCTTGTCATTAATCATAAAATATCATTCAATGAATAAAAGATGAGTTATTTTCTTCCATAGAGAATAAATATATTTAATAAAACCTACTATTTTATTATAAATAGAATAACTTAATATAAATAAATCTTCCTTTTAATATATTTGATTTTTATGATATTATCTTTTTTCATTATTAAAATTGAGGGATTTTAAGATGTGTTTGGATTCTTTATTGTTTTATATAAGGTTGTATGAAAAAGTTTATAGTATTATTCTTTTTAGAATACCTGGTTATTAATGATAAAACATAGATTTAAAATATAAAATTACTTTTTAATTAAAAAATAAGATTATATTTTTACCCTCATTAAAATACAAATTGGCGACTACTGATGAACTTTATGGGGGCTTCCTTTATTTTCATAAAACTGTTGTTGTTATGTTGGTAATTTTTGGGCCTGATGAAACGAGGATTGAATGCAATGAGATTAGGCAAAATACCAATAATGCTAGACGTACAAAAAAAACTTACAAAGATTTATATATAAAGTTATGTTACAGAAAATGAATGGAAAAATGAATAAAAAAAAGTTAAACTTATCATATTCACTCTTTCGCTCATTTTTTGTTATATTATTTTGTATAAAAAAAATTATAAGATTTTTTTGTACGTATAATATCACTCGCATTGATAATGAAAGGGTTGATATTTTGGTCTTTTGGTTTTTTAATGAATAAATGCTCATATATTTTCCTACCCAGTTATAGGGATGAAACCTTTAAAAGATGTCTAATCATTCATCTCCACGTTACAATTATTAGATAAGAATTTTTTATAGTGCTTCAATGACAGTTGATGATGAAATTTTTTTAATTAAAACTTCAGCATAAAGAGAAAAATCAGCATGTAATTGTTTGCGCCGGAACCATTTAATTGAGAACAAATGACAACGTTTAAAAAATAATAATAATAATTGTCAGAGTTTGAAAGAGAAGGCAAGAGAAGCAGGACTCTGCTGCTAGAACCTGAGAAGAGAAAAGAGAAAAGAAACGTAGAGAATTTTGTGTGCATTGTATTTTGTAAATCTGTACAATAGCCAGTTTATACAATTGTGTAAATGTAAAAAAGGAAAACAATAAATACAAAATCCCTATAATTTGTTCTATCGATCACATGATTTAAGGTGATTGATTGAACCTTAATTTACTCCCTAATCTCAGCCAGCAGAGATCAAGGGAAAATAATCATTCCATATTTTGTCACTCCCCCTCAAGCTTGTGGTTTGTAGATGTCAAAAACTCCAAGCTTGCTAAGTAGATGTGAATGATATCTGCTGCATAATGGCTTTGTAAAGATGTATGCTAGTTGTTCAGAAGTACAGATGTGTAGAGTCTTAATTACCCCTTCGTGTATTTTGCTCCTGACAAGTGACAATCAATTTCTATATGTTTCGTTCTTTCATAAAATACTGGATTTGCTGCTATGTCGTTTACAGCTTTGTTGTCACAGTATAAAAAAACCGGTTTACTTACTTGCACTTCTAAATCTCTCAGTAACCCCAGAATCCAGATGATCTCACATGTCATTTTTGCCATGGCTCTGTATTCGGCTTCTACTGAAGAGAGGGATACAGTAGTTTGTTTCTTGGTTTTCCAAGAAATAAGTGCTCCCCCTAGCTTTATACAGAATCCAGTAAGTGATTTTCTTATCATCGGACATGTAGCCCAGTCTGAATCACAATATGCTCTGATATCTAAGCCTTTGTTACGAGGAAAGAGAAGCCCCAGACCAGGACACCCTTTTAAGTATTTTAATACCTTTATTGCTACATCCATGTGAGATTATTTAGGTCCGTGCATGAACTGATTGAGAATGTGAACAGCATAGCTGATTTCTGGTCGAGTCATTGTGAGGTAAATTAGTCAGCCAACAAGTCTTTGATAGTTTGTAGGATCTTCCAAAGGTGGATCATTTTCTAAGGATGATGTCCCACTGTCATATTCTTGACTAGTTAACTTGGTGCTTTGTTCTACTGGAATAACACTTGGCTTGCATCCTGATAGCCCAAAATCAAAATTGAGTTCTAAGACATATTTCCGTTGACTAAAAGATATCTCTGCTGGAGATCTTGCAATTTCGATTCTGAAAAAATATTTTGGCTCCCCAAATCCTTTATTTGGAATTGTCTATTGAGATGTTCTTTTAAGGATTTGATGCCTACTTCATCATTGTCTGTAATGAGAATGTCATCGACATAGATAATTAGAGTAATAAATGTTTTACCTCTATGCCAAGTAAACTATGCATAGTCATGTTTGGACTGAACAAATCTATGTCAGTGAGAGCTGCCATGAATTTCTCATTCCATTGTTAGGATGCTTGCTTTAATTCATAAAGGGATTTTCACAAACGACATACTTTCTGCTCCCCCTGTTTGCGAATTCCCGGAGGAAGATCCATATAGATTTCTTCATGAAGATCCATATAGATTTCTTCATGGAGGTCCCCATGAAGAAAAACATTATGAACGTCCATTTGATGTAGAGACCAGTCACGAACAGAAGCAACTGTAAGGAAGGCACGAACAGTGACATGTTTGGCAACTGGGAAAAATGTTACTTGATAATCAAACCCCTTACGTTGAGTAAACCCTTTAGCCACTAAATGGGCTTTGTAACGTTCAATTGACCATCGACACGGTGCTTGATTTTGTAGACCCATTTGTAGCAAATGGGTTTTCTATGAGTAGGATAAGGAACTAAATCCCATGTGTGATTCTTATTCAAGGCAGCTAGTTCATCAACCATTGCTTGACACCAGTGGGAATGTTTGACCGCATCTGAGTAACAAGTGGGTTCTCGATCGGCGGAGATGTGACTGATACAAACTCGGATCTGAGTAACAAGTGGGTTCTCGATCGGCGGAGATGTGACTGATACAAACTCGGTGAACAGGAGAAAGACAATCATATGTCACATAATTAGAGGTAGGATACTGAATACCTGAAGAATGTGATATAGTAGAACACTCATAATCAGTAGTCCAGATTGGTGGTCGTGTCTGACTAGTAGTACAACGAATGGGTAAAGGTGGAACTGAATCAGGAGACTCTGGAGGAGAATCAGGAGGAGAAGACTATTGGAATATTATCAGTGGCTGCTGAATCAGTATCAGAATCAGTAATAGTAGGTTGTTGAGGAGCCTCAGGAATAGGTATCATAGAAAAAAGAGGATCTGGGGAAGTAAGAGCATCGTCATAAGAAAACAGTCGCAGAGATGAAGAGGAAACCTAGTCAGTGTTGGCAAAAGGGAATATGTTTTCATGAAACACAACATCTCTAGATATTATAAAACGGTCTTTAGCTAGATCATAAAGTCTATAACCTTTCTGGAGAGTGGGATAGCCCATAAAGATACAACGGTGGCCTGGGAGCCGAACTTATCATGAGAGCCAAGAGTAGCAGTATAACATAGACAGCCAAATGCTCGAAGGTGATCAATGGTTGGCTGCTTCTTGAATAATAACTCATAAGGAGTTTTCCCATGAAGAACTCTGGTCGGCATGCGGTTGATCAGGTATGTGGCTATGATCACACAATCACCCCAAAATGAGACAGGAATGGTGGCTTGGTGTTTTAGGGCTCGGGCTACCTCTAAGAGATGGTGGTCTTTTCTTTCAACAACTCTGTTTTGTTGTGGGGTATAGGTGCAAGAACTTTCGTGAAGAATACCAAGGGATGAAAACAGAGAAGAACAACTATGGTTGAAAAAATCTCTAGCATTGTCGATTCTAACTCGTTGGACTGATGTATGAAATTGGGTATTGATCTTAGAAAGAAAGTGCTTAATGTGGGTAAGTGTATGGGTTTTAGATTGCATGAGAAAAGTCCATGTCCTCCGAGAAAAATCATCAACAATAGTAAGAAAGAATTTGGATCCATCATGATTGGGGGTGTGATATGGGCCCCAGATGTCAAGTTGGATCAGGGCAAAAGGTTGAGTGGTGGTGGATGTGCTATGTGGAAAACTAATTCTTGCTTGTTTTGCTAAGGGACATATTTGACATTTGGGATGAGGGATAGTGGCACTGTGACCTAATCTTTGATGGAGAATAACAGAAGTTTTATTAAGCCTTGTATTATAATTGGATATTTTATTGGATGTAATACAAGGAGAAATAACTTTAGAAAACACATTGGGAACCTAGTAGTACAAGCCTCTATTGGCTTTACCCAAACCCATCAGTGTCCCAGTCGAAGGGTCCTGAAATTCACAGGTATTATGATAAAATTTCACAGTGCAACTATTGTCAAAACATAATTTTGATATAGAGATAAGGTTAAAATGGAATGCAGGGACACATATGACATTTGTAAGTTGTAAATGTGCAGATAATTTTACGGTCCCTATATGAGTGGTTAGGGCTATGTTTCCATTCAGCATACGAACGGAGGTGGATGAGGTAGTGGATATAGTGGTGAAAAGTTTAGGGTCGCAAATAATGTGATCACTAGCCCCTGAATCAATAATCCACATATCAGTTGTAATAAAATTTAAGTAGTAAGAAATACTTGCATAGGATGTTGTGGGCGCTGTTGGGATTTTATTCAGCATTTGGAGAAGGTGGTGATATTGATCGGAGGTGATCAAAGGTGCTGCAATTAGAGGTTCTGTAGGAATAGCATCGACATGATTGACTGAAGAATTTCTAGTTTTTTCTTTGTTGGGATACCCATTTAATTGCCAACAACAGTCCCGAGTATGATTTCTCTATTTACAGTATTCACAAAATAGTTTACCCTTGCCCGATTTTGAATTTTCGGGGTTGGTTGACCCAGTCTGCCCATTTGACCAACTATTGGGTTTGTTTGACCCGTGATTTGACCTAGAAGCCTAGCTGCTTGGCCCATTTGACCCGCCTCATGACGTGGCATCCTGCGAGCCATTGGATGAAGTGAATGACACGGCATGTTTCTGGTCGTCAGATCCACTTTGACTTGCATATAAAAGAGCATGTTTTTCTTCTATTTGCCCTAGCCGCCTAATATCCCCATTCAACCCTTCCTTCTCCGACGACCGATAACCTGCAAAAGCCAACCCATGAGTCTATCGATTTACATCATTGACCTGTTGTTGACTCTCGTCTTGAACAGCGAGTTGGAAAGTTCGTCAGAGAGTGGGAGGTAGTGATGTGGTGAGAACTTGGCTGCAGAAGGCGAGGAAAGCATCATTCAAACCAAGAAGAAAATGGCTCAATCGGTCACGATCGCAAATCCTCACTCATTGTGCGAGAGTTACAGGTGGCCCTTCTAGCAGGGGCGGATCCAAAAATTTCTATTAGGGTGGGCCAAATAAAAATCAATTGTATATAACATTCGTATTATATTTTTCCAGTCAATATTGTCACAAAAACAAAAAAAAAAAATTACATTTACTATTGTCCTCGGCAGGGCTTCATGTTGAGGAATCGTTGCATGACCATCTCCTTATCAACACTGTCAAATATATCTTTCTCAACATATGGAATTAGGCTATCATTCAAGAATTGATCTCCCATCCGATTGCGTAAATGAGTCTTCATAATTTTCATAGCAGAAAATGCCCTTTCTACACTTGCAGTTGCAACTGGTAAGGTTAAAGCCAATGTGATGAGCAAATATACCAATGAGTAAATAAGATGCTTTTTCTTTTCAACCATTTTCTGAGCAAGACTGGTGATATCATTTAGTTTTGAACAATCACTATTTGAGCGCATATCATCAATGTAATTATCAAGTTGAAGTTGAAGTTCAAGTGCCATAAGATCAGTAGAAGAAAATTCAAGTAGATAAAATTGAGCAAAACGAACTAATTTTCCCTTATCAAATGCTTGAAAGCAATCACTTGGATTTAGGGAGGTCATGCAAATAAGTAATTTTGTATTACCTTCATTAAAACGACTGTTATGCTCTGATAGTTGCAAATCTATTATGGCATAGAACAACTCAACACGATAATGAAATAAATTTGTCATCTCTTGAACATTACGCTGCGATCTCCCTCGTGCAACAAATTTCTCTTGCATATTTGGCATATCTATATTATGAGCAATGCAAAAATGAGAAACTTCATCAAGTAGATTATCCCATCCGTTATTTCTTATCAACAATAATCTTCTTTTTGACAAGTGAACCAAAGACATAGCATTTATAATATCTTGATCCTTCCTTTGCAATGCTTGTGAAAGTTCAAATGTGATTCCCAAAATGTTTTTCATCATGTGCAAGTTAAAAGCAAAATCAAAAGAAGTCATATAATCCACCAAATCACTTGCTTCAACTCTATTATCAGAATTTTCAGTAAGATCCTCAAGCACTTCAATAATAGATGAAAACAAATTAACCAAGCTCAATAAAGTCCCATAATGTGAACCCCATCATGTTTCCCCTGGTCGCTTAAGACTAGTATCTTGATTAAGACCTTGCCCTATTGAAAGCTCACCACTTTCAATAGCTTTTTTTACCTTCAAAGCTTGTTTCTCATTAAGAATATCCCTACGTCTAGGTGACTATCCAACAATATTTATCTCACAAGAAACTTTCAAAAAAATGTCTCTCAATATTTGTATCCTTTTTTGCCACAGCTACAAGTTGATGAGCAAAATAATGAACATAGAAAGCATATTCATTATCTTTCAATATAAATGCCTTCAACCCATTAAACTGACCTCACGTATTACTCGCACCATCATAACCTTGTCCACGTAATCTTGATATGCTCAAATTGTATTTAGAGAACAATGTTTCGATTCCCATCTTTAGTGACAAAGCAGTCATATCCGTGCCATGCATAATGCTCAATAAACACTCAACAACACATTCTCTTTTATTTACATAACTTAAGATAATTGCCATCTGCTCTTTGTTGGATCCATCACGAGCTTCATCAACTAGTATAGAAAAAAAAGCATCTCCAGGATCACTAATTAGTTTGTTGACGGTTTCAACTGTAAATGCATTGATTATATCTTTTTGGATACTAGGAGCAATCAATTTATCATGTCCAGGAGCATTCTCCAATGCGACTAATTTATATTCTTCATTTTGCTCAGCTGTATAGTGTAAAAGTTCAAGAAAGTTTCCCCGATTCATTGAATTAATAGACTCATCATGGCCACGAAAAGGCAATCCTTGCCGAAGAAGAAACCGACTTCCAGAAATTGATCCTTTCAACCGAATACGATAATCTTCTCACTGTTGGTCAGATTTCTTATTAATAATTGTACTTACATGCTGCTTTTGGTTCATCAAAGCTTGACAATTTTTCACAGCTTGATTATGATAGCTATTAGGACCTCCAATATGATATTTAAATTTTTCAAGTCTCTTCCAATTGCGAAACCCATCAAGAACAAAAGAATCACCGCCACTTTGCTCACCTTTATCTGGTTTGAAAAGATAACAACATAAACAATATGCAGCATCATTCTCAACACTATATTCCAACCAGTAAGGATATTTGTCAAACCAAGAACGTTGGAAACTCCATTCATGATCACCAGATTTTGATTTGGGAAACTTATGGTTGAGAGGTTGACAAGGACCCTTTTGTAGATAACGCAGTCTGACTTGGTCTCGAACATTAGGATGATAAAACGTAATTCTTGGTCGAAATCCAGGATCAAAAGAAAGATTTTCCAAGCCAACTTCGAAACAATTTTTCTTTGAAAAAGGTTGGTTTTCATGATCATTGACACCCGAATAAAATTGAGATATCTCAGCAATTGACTTTCTTTTAAAATATTTTTCCATATCTAAATACAAAGAAATAAAATTATATAAATACAAAGAAATAAATTAACTCATGAATTGAATTCTATAATAACTATAGAAATTCTAAATTTTCCAACTTAAAGTTTTTTAATCATCAACTTAAGGTCTTAAGGACTTAAACAATACATAAAAATAAAACCCTCATTGATTCTATCTATATTTCTATTTCTATTATCTATATATTATTTTTCTTCCAAATTTTGTGACCACAAAACAATCATTTACCTATCACAAAATATTGGAATCTAAAAACTTCCCCTTTTTTCCTAAAAGTTTTCTCAATAAAAAATTCACTGCACAATGCTATTATATTAATACACACAAATAACAAAATAGCACTATACACAAAGAAAAAAATACTAATCAGAGAGAAATTAACTGATAGAATTTTGTTGAAGAAGAATTAGGGAGAGCACCAGTCCAGCACAGGAGTTATGGAAGACGCGAGCGACCACCGGACTGACTTACTGAGGGCTTCCAAATTGCAACTGCAAAGGAAGATTCTATTTTTACACGTTTCATTAAAAAATTGAAGGTGGGCGGTGGGCAAGTTTTTTAGTACTAAAAAGGGAGAGTGGGCCCAGACTTTTAGTTCTAAAATTGAGTGGGCCACAATTTTTTAATATTTGACAATAAAAATTAAGGGTGGGCCAAAGTCAAACTAAATAGAATAATGTATTTAATTTTTTTTTAAAAAAATTGAGGGTGGGCCGTGATACACTTTGGATCCGCCCCTGCCTTCTAGTGTTTCTTCCGTCGCATCAAGCTCGTTCCAAATGGCAGAGAGCCGATTGAAGAACAAGGTTACCAAAGAGTTTTGTTGCTTGATCTCAGCAAGTTGTTGTCAAAGATGGAAAATTTTGGCGAGATCAAGCTTCCCATACATTTCCCAAATATTTGCCCACATCTCAGTCACGATTTCAGTCGAAGGAAGACCAGACGCCACCTCTGATGACAAACAATTGCTGAGCCACGACCGAACCAGCATATTGCAGCGGTGCCAATGCCGCTGAAGGGACGGTGGCTAGGAGTTTGTATCAAGGAAGTCCAGTTTATCTTTTGTGATCAAGGCTCGGCGAAAATCACGAGCCCAACTGGAATAATTTTTGAAACCTGTTAAGGTGTTCTTGATGAGAACCAATTCGAGGCCATTAGAAGGGTGCACATAGAGCATGGCGCCTAGGACAAGGCAATTGTTGCTGTTGCCGGTGGCTGGAATCAGGTGAAAGGGAAACGGGTAGGGATTTGGGTTTGAACCCGAACCCGTTGGAGGCGTAGGATCCGGGATGTAACTTGGCATTCCAAAAGGGTGGGTAATTGGACTTGGATCATGTTGAGGTTGGTGGTTTGGGTTGGAATGTTGGTCTTCTATGATTGTTGGGTTTGGGTCGTTTGTAATGGTTGGGTGTGGATTGTTTGTGAGGATTGGGCTTGTGTTTGGGCTGTCTGTGATATTTGGATTTGGGTTTATCTCCATTTTGAAGTTTTGAGTAGTTATAAAATAAAGAGGAAATCAATAACTGAGTATTTATTTGTTTGCAGGGACAGAAGAAAAAAAAATTTGGCTAGCTGATTTGAGAAAATGCGGAAGCTAGATTCAGATCAGAGGCTCTGATACCATGTCAGAGTTTGAAAGAGAAGGCAAGAAAAGCAGGACTATGCTGCCAGAATATGCTTGAGAAGCGAAAAGAGAAAAGAAATGTAGAGAATTGTGTGTATTGTATTTTGTAAATCTGTACAATAGCCAATTTATATAATTGTGTAAATGTAAAAAAGGAAAACAATAAATACAAAATCCCTGTAATTTGTTCTATCAATCACATGATTTAAGGTGATTGATTGAACCTTAATTTACTCAATTGAACCTTAATTTACTCCCTAATCTCAGCCAACAGCAGAGATCAAGGGAAAAGTATCATTTCATATTTCGTCAATAATAACTGATAATAATAAAATTAGTGGTCAGTAAATCAGAGAGAAAAATAAGATGCTAAAGTTGCTCGGTAAATGTTCCCAGATCAAAAGTCGACTTTTGATCCAAAAATTATCCATATGTAATTCATACCTTAGCCCACCAACATTGGTGAAAACATATTGAGATTAACTTTATATATTCTGATGAGAACTACTCTATGTCTCTATCAAGCACAAAGACCTGACCATTTTTTCTTGATTCCTACACATTATTTAATTGATTTTAGTTGTATTATACAAGTTCCTTTTTTTTTTTTTTTTTCTTTGCATAAAGATAATTATGCCAGGGTTTCAGGGAACGCTCTGTACAATCCTGTGTTTGGTAATTATTCCAGGGAATCAGATGCAGAATGCAGTACTTACTGTGTCAATTTCTATAGTGTCAATTTCTATAAAAGAGATGAAGAAAGAACCTTTCAGGGACATTCTAGTCAATTTCTAAAAAATTATGAAGTAATACATATATTACTCTTACGTACCCTTTTATTCAAGTGTATTACCAGAGTAGAAAAACCAGCAGATAAATGAGAGATTTATGCTCTCCATAAAGAAGATTCAAATTCGACAAATATATTTGATAGAATTTAGGGTGGGTCGAACTCCTCACCCAATAAAGCCTTGTTGAATAGGAGGATTACCCCTTCTTATAAACTAGAAGGTTTGAGTGTGTCTAGTCGATGTAGGACTTCAATAATCTCCCTCACAATCAAGCCCACATGTTGGGTCATGTCTGTTTTAATAGAGATAATTGCTGGATCTAACTCTTCACCCGTTGATCAAACACTCAGCTCAACTGAACATGGGCTCTAATACCATGATAGAATTTGAGGTGAGTCTGACTCCTCACCGAATAAGGCCTTGTTGAATGAGAGGATTACTCCCTCTTATAAACCAGTAGGCTTGAGCGTGCCTAGTCGGTGTGGAACTCCAACAATATTCATTACATAGTGAAGAATTGTATTTCAATTTGTTGAGTTCCTTGACAGTAAACTTTGCATCTTGTGCTAGCTAGTCCGGATTAACAAGCTGCATCACTGATGTTATAAATTTAGCAGTACTTCTAATTCCCTCCGAAGAGTCATCTCCTATGGCGTCAACCATTTAAATTGATTTGATCAAACATATTAACATCATCAATACTCATTTCTCAGTGCTAGACCCACCAGACACTATAGTCAGTATTCAGATAATATGTGGTGTAATACTAACTGATGTTCACTGCCTGTTTTCCGAAACCTTTGGTGGTTTGGACTTCTAAAGAAAACAAGCCATTGAATCTCTCATTATTGTCCTTGTAATATCTATGCTTCTTTGCATTTGTGATGTGCAATAATTCAGGTTTTACTGATATATAGGAACATCAGTGATGTTGACTGGACTGATGTTTATTGTTTGCCATTTTAAAAGGTGGATTCGCCTAGTTGGTGATATTTTGATTGCCTTATTTCTTCTGGTTTTGCAGCAATATATATGTCGACAGATTGAAATTACCTACCTGTACATATTCTGATAAAGACTAGCCAAGCCAGCTGGTCCAAATTTATAATTGATTCGTATACCATGTATATATCAATTGGTTTCATATTCTTCTTCACCCTGAAAATTTCCTTTCTTTTTTTTCTTGATGCCATTCATATCCTTTGCATAAAGATGATGCTTTTTCTTTCAGCATCATTCCACAATTAACACCACAAATTTATATTTCCATGCTCATCGGGCTTTGCCTATAAATACAGCTTCCCACAACACCCGTTATGCACCAACAACTCTTAAAACACTTTTGAGTTTTGTGTATAATTAACAACGATGTCTCTGACTCCAGGGCGCAGTCACTATAATGCACCAGGAAACTTCATGTACGATCCTGGAATTCGTCCATACTATGTCGATACATGGGACGACCGCAGCCGCTTCCACAATTTTCATTCCGAAGCAAATATCACTGTGCCACACAATGCTTTCTCGAGATCGATGGTCAGCGGCACCGCTAGTACTGAGTGGAGTGACACCCCGGATGCATACATCTTCAAAATCCATCTTCCAGGGCTCAGCAGGAATGACGTTAAGTTGGAAATAGAGGACGGCAGAGTTCTCTGTATAAGCGGCGAGAAGATTGAAAAACAAGCGAGGTGGAATTACACGGAGAATATGAAATTCCTGACACGTGTGGAATTGCCTCATAAAGCTAAGCTTGATAAGAATAAGATTAGAGCTCATATGGAGAAGGAAGAGCTCACTGTGACGATTCCCAAGAAAGACATGAAGAATCATCATTACTCCATAGCCATTCCTATTACCGGCCCACGCGGATCGGAAAAATTATTTTAGCATATTATTACTCAAATTTCCTGAGGGAAATTTATAAATTAAGCGTGGTAAATAAAGATTTGTAACATGTGATGTATCATGAAAGTGTGTGCCAGGTGATAGGTTTGCTATTTGAGTTTGTAATAAACAATATCTGCCTCAGGCCCCGCAGAAATATATCCTGTTTCCGTGTCCGGTGATTAAGGTTTGAATATATGTTGTTTTATCGGTCATTACCCACTGCTGGACCGACGATGGCCAGCGTATAATGTGTATTAAGAGTAAATGACATTTCCCCTCCCAAAGTTTGGCAAATAAAAATTTTTACACCCACAGTTAATCTCTATCAATAGAATCTGTTACTTGATAGGGGTAAAGTTATGAAAAGATTATAATACCTGTTACTATTTTACTTTTTAATTTTTAACAAGGTTGAACAACATTTTCTCACTCAAACTTTATTAAAGGTATTTTTCATCCCTAGTTTGATTTATGTTAGTTTTAGGGTTAATAAATTTAAAAAAATTAAAGAAAGTTAGTTATTAAAATTTAAAAAATCCAAAAAAAAATAATAATAATTAAAATTTCAAAAACTCAATGATTCCCATAGAGAGATCTTGGGATGGAGCTTTGTGGCGACAATGAGTTCTTCAATTTCGACATGCTTGTAGATTCCGGCACTCCACAGCGGCGCCATCATCAACATGCAATATATATAATTTTAATGAAATATTGTTTGTAGTTTTATAAATATTTAATTGATTGATATTATTGTAATTTTTAAAAATAAAGTATACAATTTTAATTTTTTTTCAGAAAAATACATACTTTAAAGTGAAATCTCCTTTGTACTTATAGAAATTGAAGATAAGGAATTTAAATGGCTAATTCCCAAGTTGTTGAAGTTAATTGTCTAAGTGTTTGTAATTTAGGGATGTAAGAATATTAACCCTTTAATATATATTGTGCAAACTAATGAGAATCACCTTTTGCAGTTAAAACTAATGTCTAAATTTCAATACAATGTATTCGCTAAACCTTGGGTGGGAAAATGTCATTCTCTCAGTGTAATAATCCAATTTTTTTTTCATCAGAAACCATGACATACAATTGTTTGCGTCATTATTGTCCAAAAAAAATTCTGATGCTTCTTTGTAGTATTGATGATGTGCTATCTGTGGAGGAGATATGAAGAAGAACATTGATGTTAACTGAAGTGATCGATGATACCATATTCTAAGCCATTTTGAAAAGTGGATTCGCCAATCGAAACATTTAAGCAATTCCAGTACCACTAAAAATCTCACATGTTTGTTCAGTAATCACGCCTTCGTCCCCTTGCAATTGGGTACTAGTTTCACTTCAGTAATTAAATTTCCTTGTTCAATAGGTGGTTGCTTTGTTGGTCCAAAATAAGAACTATTAATTTATACTGAATTTTGAAATTATTTTTTCTAAGTTTCTATTATCATTATTTAAATTCGAATTCTCATGAACGCGTGGAGGACCTTTTTTTTTTTTTTTTTCTTTCCTCAAATCGCATGTTCACTTCTATTTATGTAAAAGCCGCAAAAAATTTCAATAAATCTGAAATTTCAATAATTATGTTGGTGGCCGGCCTCCTTAATTAATTTTCTAGGGAATATGGCTTTGACAAATCTAAAATTAATTTTAATTCCAAATTTAGGTACTAAAACGCGGGTTTAAGTAATACTCTCATCATCTATAAAATAAAGAATTTTTTTTTGGGTATCCAGACCAACTTGCACGCAGCTTAATTAATCACTGAAGGCCCTGAAGTTAACGATCGAATAAGTCTCCAATGACCACCCCTTTAAGGGCTAAGATTAATCGAACTTAAGATCTTTTGAATAATTGACGTACTGAGTTAGCGTAACAACAAGGCTAACACCCGACTATATCCTTAGAATTGATAAACAAGTCTCAATCACATACACTTAGGTCATAAAATTTGAAGTAAAATCTGAATAATCATTGAATAATTTCCAAAAATAAATAATATGTTTATATACGGCAATAGCAGTCAAACTCTAACAAGACTTTGAACAAGCAAGGAAATAAAATCTAAATTAATAAACAAAAAATCCTCTAAATAAAATAAGAAAAACACAGTAAAAAACTTAAATGATCCTAAACAAGTTGAAACAGTAATACATCTACAAATCTTAATGACCATTCAACCACAAAGTGATGATTAAAATAAAGAAAGTGGGTTGTTTTGATCTTGAGTGCGTTAATTTTCAACTTAATTAATTGTTTATGACATTGATTCTCCTTTCTTTTTTAATCATATAAACAAAGATCGATCGAACAAATCCTTAGCTTTATGTCTACATGTAGCATCTCTTATTGATTTGATATTATATCAATTAGACTCGATAAGTTTCCAGTCAGTCTCATACTGATTCTATAATTTTGTATTCTATGAAACAAAAATCCAGAGAACTAAGGCCCAATAAGCAGACGTATCAGAGCCCAATAAGCAGACGTATCAGAGCTAAATCTCTACGTGGCAGTCGTACTCTTTTTGTGGGCTCACACAATCCCAGTTGTCTAAAATATTATGCATACTTTTCCTCAAGAGATTACTTGGAAATCAATCAAAGCACATTTGATTTCCTTGTGAAACATACATTGCAAACTTAAAAGAAGCGACTTTCAGAGCCAAAATTGCGGTGATACAAAACCTGGAAATTAAGTTTCTAAATGAGAGTGGATCAGTAAAAGCCCGACAAAGTGTAAAGGAAAACAAAGTCTCAAAATTAAAGCTCTATTTATGTTCCCTCTTTACAAGGCTAGCTCTTAAACCCTACAGCTTTCCTTGGCAAAACCAAACAAAGAAGAAATGGTTTTGATGGGTTCAAAATCACTTGAGGTCGTTGAGCCTATAACCACAGAGGCCTGGAACACGACGGGGCTGCACTTGCACCGGAAATCGTTGACGCACGCGACATTCTATTGGGGCCACAAAACGGAGATTTTGTTTCCAGGGTGGCCAGATTCGAGCTCAAGCATGTATGCTTTGGCCTTGATGTTAGTGTTTGTTCTTGCGGTGCTGGTGGAGTTTCTTGGTAACTGCAAGCTCATCGAGCCGGGGGCTAGTCGCGTGGCGACTGGGTTGTTCAAGACTGCTTTGCATTCGGTGCGTGCTGGTCTGGCGTATATGGTTATACTTGCTATTATGTCCTTTAATGGTGGTGTTTTTATTGCTGCTATTTTGGGCCATGCTGTTGGGTTCTTGCTCTTCGGGAGTCGGGTTTTTAAAAAATCAGACGGGTCTGGTTCCGATTCCCAGAAGTCTTAGGATCTTGCTAGTACTCCCAAGTGTTGATTAAGCAAACTCCATAACTATTTTTCTGTTGTTTCGATATCCATCTTTATTGTTTCTTTTGCTTGAGACAATGAGATTGATGGAAACTTGTTTGTAAGATTATAATAAAACGGTTCAATAATGGAAAGAGCACCTGGTGCAGAGGGATTCAATCCAAAATGAAAAACCAAGAANTATATATATATACAGAAGTGTCTATGTGTTAAGTGTTGTCGTAGTCAGCCAGTTTTATGTTATGTTTATGTGGAGTTGTTGTTTCAATGGGCTGGTCCTCGTTCCTGTTCTTGTTCTTGTAATTTAAACTAAAATAACCGATATTCTACATATATATTTGTTAAAATACAATTTGATGAAGAAATTAATAGTTGTAAATATAATATGTATGCTACATATTTTTTTTTTTTAATGATTGGGGTGGGTGTCCGGACCAGCTTACGCACACCTCAACTAATTCTCTAGGATCCCTCTAATGGTCACCCTATTAACATATGAGAAGAGACTCAAACTCAAGACTTCTTAAATAATACATTAAAGAGTCCTTATCGAAACACTCGACTACTCAGAGGTTGTTATATGTTATATTTTTCAATGTAGCCTGTAAAAATTATTGCTTTTCTTTATTTCTTTCTCTCCAACTCCTTGCTCCAACTCAAATCCAGTCCTCACTCCTCAGTATCCAAATGGAGCAAGATTAAAATTCAAGATATCATCATAAAGTTAAACTAGTTACTATCTTTTCAATAGATTAATATGGAAAAATAAATAAATAATTAAAAGGTATTATAAGTGCTTTTATAAAGAATATTTTTCAAGTAATGCCCTCTTTTTTATCTTACTATATTCAAACAAATAAATAAACATGAAACTAGATTCGATTGTTTGAAAGCATAATTTATAGTGCTTCTGGACGTATTATAATATAACCACTGATTTTAAAGGAAAAAAAGAAAAGAACATAACACCTAAAGTTTCAGGAGATGGTCATTAATTATCAGAGGGAGCTACTACCAGCGCTCTGTTTCATTGGGCCCTCGGCCCATTTCTGAAAAATTGTAAATAGTTTTGCCATGAAATTTGAAAATTCTTCAGCCATCAACACTCAACAGTTCTAGTGCGCATTTTTTTTTAATTTTTTTAATAACCGAGATATTCAGACACAATTGTTAGCCGAGTCTACCTTTGGTATAACTAATCTAATAGTTAAAAGATTTATCATCTGATCACAAAGATAAAGATTATTAGTATACATTAGAATCATCGGAATTTAAGATTTAATACTGAAAATAAGTTGCTTGATTTTTTAATTAGAGACCAAGGGCTGAAATTAAGTTGGATCATCAAATTTTTTATGGTGGCAATCACAAGACAAGGATGCTATGTTTTGTGTTTCTATAGCCATCAGGAAATATAATTTGAAATAAACTTCGCCAAATTGAATAAATATTTGTGACATTACACTGTCCATTGAGGTCCCTATTGAAATTGGACCGTGACAGCATCATCATCTATCATTAAGAGGAAACAACATTTTTCTACTTAAATAATGACTTAATGACACTTTTCTACCTATAGACTTTTAAAATATCACTTTATTATTTAAATTTATATTACGTTTTCAATTTTGGCATCATTATGACCCCACACCACCACCATTCTCTTCCCAAATCAGCACTCACCAAAACCCCTCAAACCCTACTCTTTCGGACCCTACAAATCGTCGATAATTGAGCAATTAGGGTTTGCGTAGATGCCCATTCCAAGTCAAATTTTGATCAATCCCAAACACCAAAATCTAATCTTCCACTATCAAAAGACTCGTCGGCCTCCCTTCTTCAAAAACACTAACAGTATGGATTATGTTTGCTCTTTGTTTGTCGTGGGAATATAAATTTGGATAATAAAGTGATATTTTAAAAGCCTGTAGGTGAAAACTGTCATTAAACCATTATTTGGGTAGAAAAATGTGGCTTACTATGATTATTAAGGCACCTAATGTTGTCTTTTTCAGCAAATTTCACCGGGAAAAACACACATCAAAGTTGAGTAGGAAATCGAAATATCATCTAATAATGTTACACAGCTTGGAATTTCCCATCCGTGTGATGCACTTACCCAGATCACAATCATGTCATATTCAACTTCAACACGCTACTTCTAAGATCATGATCTCAATTTGTTCACGTCCACTGGTTCGGTTCAGTTCATTACACGACGAAATTATGTGGTTACCAATTTAAATATACGTGGCAGGTCTCTTTCTGCAAGTTTCAAATGCAAAAACCGACAGATTTAGAGCACAATTATCTTGTTTGGTCACTGAGAAAATCATTCCCAGAACCACATGATTTATTTAACCACAAGAATATTGTCTTGGTCTTTGTTCATATTCACATTTCAATCATCTAACATGGCTTTCCCATTAATAACAACAGTATTCAAAATTACACAAAAAGAGAACATAAAAGAAGTGAAATTAGAGACAGCACAAATTTTTACAAATCCTGCGCAGCACAAGGCCTAAACTTCTTCAGCTTTAGACCCATTGGCCAGAGCTTTTTTCTCTTGGCCCATCTCAACGCTCCCATTTGCCGCCTCAGGTTTCTTTTGCTCATCCTTATTCTTGTGGTAGATGAAATACAAGATCAGCTGCATTGTCCCTAGCGCACACCCAAATCCATTCGGCACCTGCAACATCAAATTAAGCACCAAAATTAAGAACACAAATCCTCTTTCTCTTGTTTCGTTCATGAATTAATTACAGTATAAGCCAGGATACTTACAGCCACGAAAGGGTCTTTACCAAGTAGCCCATAAACGAAAAATGAAGTGCCACAGAAGAACACAAACAGTGACAAGAAGAATGGCATAAACTCCACGCTCTTAGTCTTAATCACCATTCTCTGCAAATATTTTATCAATCAAGAATCCACTTGTAAAATTTACAAATAGGGACTGTAATCAATTAGTAAATTAATCTTACCATGACGGAGAGAGGTGAGGCATACATGATAACTGAGAAAATTGTGGCAGCGAACCCACAGAAGTTTTTCCTACCGTTGCCATGGAGGGCTAAAAGGGACACTAAAGCTACACTTGCAAATACTGAAAGAATAGTTACAAAGAGGCCAAAAATTTTGGCCTTTTCCTTCTTTGGTGCAAAGATTAGGAAAATTAACACATAAACCAACTCTATTGCGGCTCCTGCACCATTGATTGTTGAAACCAGAAGGTTGTCTTCAGATATAAAAGGAAGACCATACCTGATCAAAATTTCAAGTAAGTGAAATAAATGTTACATTGACTACAGAAAAATGAACAGGAAGATGTTGTTGGTAAGTAATACATCATCAATAATCAAAGATCAGCAACAAATCAAGAACAGTCGCATGCATAACATTATAAGCAACATCAAGAAGATATCTGATTCTACTCTTAACTTTACAGGAATACCCTCATGAAATGATCAAAAGACAACTTGAGTAAGGTTAAAAAAACATTGAAGGGGTAACCGTGTAAAGTTGAGAGGAAAAAAGAAAAAGCAGTTGAAGAAGAAACGAGAAACCCACCAAGCAGAAAGGAGGCAGTTGAGCATAGTCATGACGTAGGGGATTCCAGAGAACTGCTCTGTGGATTTGCTTCTTATGATCCTCTTGAATGTGATCCTGTTTCAGATTTACACTTCTTTGAAATAACATTCAACATACAAAATTGTACCAGAAAGAAGGTTAAATTAAGCAACTTTTCTTGTTCTTGAATCTTGATAATGGTTACCCTTTTGGAGAAAATATCAAAGAAGCATTGCAAAGAAAGGCAACAAATTGATTTCAACAACACAAATAAATTTTCATCAAGAAGAACTCATTTCCAGTTTCAACTCATTTAACTTTGTAATTAAACACCAAAAACCAGACAAAAAATCAGTCTTTGATTGTGTGTGTATGTGAGATTAAGTTTTAGTTCTTACGTTGGAGCCAGGAAGAGAAACAAAGCAGCGGCATTTCCTGAAAGAAACAGAGAGAAAACAATAAATTAATCACAAAATTAACCCCATAAACAAAATTCATAAAAAAGTTGGAAACTCACCAAAAATACCGAATATGAAATGAGCAATATGCATTGTAATCTTCTTCTTCTTCTTAAAACCTTACAACCCAGATAAGGAAAGTCTTTTGCAGAGGCAAATTAATGTAAAAAAACAAACACAAGTTTCTTTGCAATTGGAAATGACCAGTGATGAACAAACTGGAAGCAAGCGGATTATATAGAAAAAAAAAAATTGGAGAGAGAAAGGTTTAACGTGAAGTAACTAACTGCTAAACAGTAAAATTGTTGTTTTATTAAGGAAGGAGGGAGAAATTTTGTATTCATAATATAAATATTTTATTACTACCAACAAACAAAAGAGTCAAGACACTATTTTTTTTTTTAAATCAAGAAAATAAAATTAAAAAAACCAATGAATATTTAGGTAATATTCAGTAAACAATAGTAAAAAAAAAAAAAAAATGCATATGATGGGTTGATAATCAATGTTGTCCCTTAATTATTGTCTTAATTTAATAATTTTTTAAAGGGATATATATATATTTTTTAAATGTAAGTGGCCTATTCATTATCCAGTATCTACTGAAAAGTGAGAAGGCAAAAAGAAAAAAATGCCCAGTTCTGAACTTCTGATGAACTGAAACTGTTGCAGACTGACATGAATGAGGATAAGAGATATGGTTGAGATGAGGCTGAAAGCATGAAACAAATAAGATAAAATACAATAAATAAAATCAACAAAAATATCTAAAGAAGTGCGATCGGTGAGGATGCCGGTAAGATTAAGGTGAGCATTTCGAACACACTTTTATTTTTATTTTTTTTGTCGTGAGAACACACTTTTAAACAAAGTGTTTAAGTTAATATTAATTATTTATTTTAATTATAATGCTTGTTGTTTCTAACTATCTTTCAAGTGAAATGCTCCGTCACTGAATTACAGACTTGCTATCAGAAATTTTGTCGACTAAATTCTAAGAAGAAGCAGTTAATGTACATGTGCTTTGTGAGATTAATTAATTCGCTTAATTAAATTTTTAATATAAAATCAGATTCATGTTTACTGAAAAATCAAATTTAAATAAAGGATGAACAGAGATTTCCCACCCAAAGTTTGGCCTAAACTCTTTTCCCACCCGAAAAGTTTCAAATAGACACTTTCCTACCCACCATTAAGATCCATTAATTAACATGGTGTAGTCACTGTAAGGACGAAAATATCTGACTTTATAATCTTGAATGAGGTTGAATAATGTTTTCTCACCCAAACTTTATTAAATATATTTTTCANGATGTAAATGTTCCACATGTGAGTCGAATCCAATTCCATTGTATTGAAGTTAGCAGCTGATTCATCAGCCTGTTCAGCACGCTACATGGATTGCTATGTCTTGTTAGATCAAAGACAAAGACAGCTTATATTAATGGTTTGTCTGTTACAAACACTGATGTAATATCTCATCAGTGGATTCATACGTACATGAATGTATTTAATTCTCTTTGTTACTGCTAATAAATGATCTTACTTATTAATTCCCTCAAAATCTTCCTGCATACAGAGTTTTCTAGAGAAATCCCTTCTCATCAAACTGTAATTGGTTTATGGTGTCACCCGGACGGCTGGACCTACAGCATCTTCTATTTAGTCCAAAATAGAAGGCGATTTTTAAAGATAGGGTCACCTCAATTCCATTGCTATTAATGCAATTCCTTATCCTATATTCAGAATACAGTCTCTCCTGTCAACCATGAGATTGTCTTTTCTGAAAGTTTGTTATAGCAATTCAACAGTTCAAATGGGGTTAACTTTATCCCTCTGTAACATATCAAGCTCTCTTGCTTAATGAGTCAAAAACCACATTTTGCCAGAGGGCATTGGTAACAGTAGGGCAGAAATCAGATGACAGATATACATAAACTGTGGTCTTTAGGAACTGGTAGCAGTAGCTTTAATTTGGCCTTTTGTTGTTGGGATTATGTTATTATTATAACCAAATCCACCAATCTGATATTGAGGTGGTCAAGTTCATTTTTGGATTCATTTAGCTTTGTTTTTAGAAAACATTTTCACAATTTCAGAAAACGATAACTTAAGCCACACCATGCTTTGAAAGAGATAAAAGAAACCAGAATTTGAGAACGTCATTTCCACACTTGACCCATGTTTTCAAAAACCACATTTCCCATTGCTTCCCTGTTTTCTGTTTTCTTGATTCTTTCAACTCCAACAAAAAAACATGGAGTTGTTTGCATCATCATGAGCCAAAATCCTCTCCAAGCTGCATCAGAAATGATCCATAATGTCAAACAAACAGGTACTAATTCCATTGTTTTCATGTGGGTCATTCACTGCCCTGGAAGAAAGGGCTTTTACAAAAGCGCTTCTGGTTGAAAGTGCTCCACAGATTGGCTTAAGCCATAGCATTTATAATTCAAATTTAGGGATAGAGACAAAATTCATGGCCAAAAACATTTTCAATAATTCAACTTAGTGGACTCAGTAGAGTAACTATCCAATTCGTGGACGCAAGTTCATTTTGCATTAATGATTTCTCTCATCAATTTCATTGAATCCCTTCTCTTATTTGGCCCCTTTTGGTATCCTACGAGCTAGGTAAGTCTTGCCTGCAATTAATTTAGGATCAAACATTTTGTCAATGGCTGCCTACCTTTTACTTCTATCCAATTCAAGCAAATTGAATTCTTTAGAGAATCAACAAAACTTATCAATATGGGCACTTTTCAAAACGGAATACGATTTCTTCTTTTTATAAAATTGTTCTATTTCTTTTCCACTAGGCATGATTTCTTTTTCACAAAGCTAGCTGAGGTAAGAGCTGAACAAAAGGTGGACCATAATCTAATCCTATCAAGAAGAAAGCAAAGGGGAATTGATGTAGGCTTCTGGACTGCTGCCGACATTTGGCAATTGCATTATTTAATGGAGTTTATGATTGAATTTTTTAAATTTTAACATACTCATTAAAGCTAAGATATGTTATGCTTTAACCAACATAAGGACTCCAATTATCATATTCTTTTCCACTTTCCAATTTCAGTCATTCATTCCTTTAAATGGATTGCTAAATTCAGAAACTCATTTCAGTGAGATTTAGGAGCTAGTCATGTTGGCCCAATCACCATGTGAACAAAGGGAAAAAGAAGAGAAGATTGGTCTTGACTTATTCAAATTCTAGAACATACAAAGAACCCAATTCTCTAATATAAGTTTGGTAAATATAAATGAATTGACAATACAGATTTTGCCAAACTTTACCAGCAAAATCTTTTTGCCTCTTCACCGAAAGCCAGTTTTGAAGGTTGGCATGTTCTTTGAAATCATAACACATGTCATGCTCATAGTTTTTATCAATGGAACAAACAAATTTATAAGTTGTTTTCACATCCACCTCCCCTTACCAAAATAAGTTATTCATCACTCTTCAAAGTTTTGGAAGGTTTGAACTTTGCCATTTTAGTTAGCCCTCCCCACCATCTCACCTCCACACATGATAATGACACTAAACAAAAGAGTGCACATTTATAGTACATCTTTTGTTAAAATGCGAAAATTCGCATAAGAAAATGACTGATATTAAATCTTTGTATGAGGCCAAGACTAACAATCAATTTGGTTATTGGTACATGGACAATTATTTCGACTGCTTATGGTTCGTGTTTTTGGATGTCTTATCATGATAAAATGCAGTGATTTACTCAAATGTTCATATCATAATGACAGAAAATTTAGACATTTGCACTTTTTTTAGCCTCAACAGAACAGAAGCAATAAGCATTACATGAATCAAATCACATAAACTGATGTGGTTGTCTTATCATGATAAAATGCATTATTTACTCAACTATTCTTTGAGAATCATTGATTTAAACTTCATGGAACTGCAATCCGGAAAAGCTCTAGACTTGTGTATAAGAATCTAAGATCCGTGATATGGATTGAGAGTTTCACACCTAAAAAGCTAACTCATTAGGTGAAGGGACTCCCCCCTTATAAGCTCAAGACCTTCTCAATGCACTTTCGATGTAGGATCTGTAACATTAGATTGTCCTTAATAATGAAAGATAAATTCCAAATTCATGAGTTTAAATCAAACAACATATACATTTTTTTATTAATTCAATTTAGCTTGTTAATTAATGTCCATAATCAAATAATGTCATGCCCTTTGTTTAATAATAAGCTATTTTTTGCAAACTTTAATCCTTTTCATTAACATGATGTTGATGCTAAGTTGTTAATTAAATAACCTAATCATCATTCTGTTTAAGTGATGTAATTCTTTCGCAATAATATGCCAGAAAAATTATTAACAATAACCAGTAGGAATTAACATTTGGGCATATTAGTATAGATATTAATTTTACTCCAAACTGAATCAATTATAAAAAAATAACCTAAATATTTAAATAACTAAATTAACCAAGTCATTAAAGAACAATATTTGAATACAAAAGGATATATAAATTACACTTAATTTGGCATCAAAGGCAGCACATCAGCTTTTCTCAGAAACGGGTGAAAGCCCAACTATATTGGACTCATGCATTAGCCTAATTTTCCAAGCCAGACCTGAAACTTACGGAAAATGAAAGTCATGTCATTGTTATATATTATATAGAAATGTGACTTAAAACTTGATTTGTTCTCACTCCATTATCAGAAAGAACAGATTTCTTTCAGTATTAATAATGGAAAATCAATGTTGATTTGTCCAGGATCCTGTGATACCATAAAATTCTATGATGATTATTACAACAAGGTCAAATGACAAGAACCAAAGGTAATCGGAATGGCATCAAGAAACCCATATGCTACCATTTCAGGAGAGTTATTCCGTTCTGCAAGTTTTGAGAAACCAAATTGAAAGGTTCCATTTCCAAATATGTACCATTTATATCTTTTTTATTCCAGCATTGAAGACCAATACTGTTGGGATTAAGAACGCTTAGCGGAAGCACCCAGTTGTCTGGATTTTAAACTTTCTCCCCAATTATGTCATTATGATCGAGGTAATGACGATTTAATGCAAATAACACATGCATGCATATATATATCAAAAATATGAAATACAAAATTAGAGTAAGTAAGAAAAATTATGGAATCCTTTGCTATTTCTTTTTTACTTGTTGAATCCTCACAAAGCACCTCAAGTGTGGTACCTCTAGATCGATACACACAGGATCTCTCGCTGATGGAAATTA